GAGCTGCTGGGACTGGGGGTACTGCTGGAGCTGCTGGCGGTACTGGAGCTGCCGGTCCTGCTGGAGTTGGTGCTACTGGAGCTACTGGAGCTGCTGGGGGTGTTGGCGCTGGTGGTTCTGCTGGTGCTGGTGCGTCTGAGGATGCTGGAGTTGGCGCTGTTGGAGCTGGAGGTGCTACTGGCGCTGGTGCTGCCGCTGGGGGTACTGGTGCTGTCCCTGCTGGTTCTGGAGGCGCTGCGCGGCCGAGGCCGTACTTCGTTCCGCTCCTTGAGCAGGTTCTTGGTCTCCCGGCCTCTACTGGTCCTGCTCCTCCCTTAGAGTGTCCACAGCCTGTCCAGTCGCAGTCACAGTTACAGCCCGCCTCCCCCCTACCTGCTCCTTCTCCCTACACTGGTCCTACTAGAGGTCTTGCTGAGCATCGTGAGCCTGCGTCTCGTCCTGCGTCGCCTGTTCGTGCTGCTCGCACTAGTCGTCGTGCTCCGCGTCCGCGTCCTCCTGCGGTCCCAGGCACACACCAGATGGCTCTGCGTCCTTCCACTGCTCCTCTGCGTGTCCCGTTGCCGTCTCCTCCAGAGTCCTCTCTTCCTGCTCTTGCTGACCCGGAGTCTGACTCTCTTCGTGCTGCCAGTCCTACTGTCACGCGTCTCCTGGCTACTGCTGTCACTGACCCTTCCTTTGAGTCCACTGCTGCGTCGGCCCTAGTTGCTGAGCTTGTCGACTTTGCTGCTCGCTGTCGTCTGGACTTCGCTACTAGTCTTGTTGCTAAGTCTGAGTCTGTCTGTCCTCCGTCCGTCGGGGGTGAGTGTGCTCTTAGCACGGACGTCCTTGAGGACAGGCAGGAGGAGTTCCAGTGTTTTGCTGCTGCTTTGCCTCATCTCGTGTCCACGCTGATTGCCCCTGAGGGAGACCCGGATGCACCAGACATCCCGACTCCTCGATCGTACGCTGAGGCGATCGAGGGTCCCTACTCCTCTCAGTGGCAGTCAGCCATGGACGCAGAGATGGCTTCCTGGAAGTCCACAGGCACCTACGTCGACGAGGTTCCCCCACCTGGGGCGAACATCGTCAGTGGCATGTGGATTTTCAAGGTGAAGCGGCCGCCGGGTTCTCCGCCTGTCTTCAAGGCGCGTTAAGTGGCTCGAGGCTTCAGTCAGCGGCAGGGAGTTGACTACTTTCAGACCTTCTCTCCCACCCCGAAGATGACCACTCTTCGGGTGCTGCTGCACATAGCCGCTCAGCGCGACTACGAGCTTCACTCTCTTGACTTCAGCACAGCTTTCCTGCAGGGCAGCCTGCACGAGGAGATCTGGCTGCGCCGCCCACCTGGCTTCACTGGGTCGTTTCCCCCTGGTACCCAGTGGAGCCTCCGGCGGCCAGTCTACGGTCTCCGCCAGGCGCCCCGTGAGTGGCACGACACACTGAGGACTACACTTGCGGCTCTTGGGTTTGCACCTTCTACAGCCGACCCGTCGCTGTTTCTGCGCACCGACACCTCTTTGCCGCCGTTCTACATCCTCGTGTACGTCGACGACTTGGTCTTTGCCACTGCTGACACTGCTGGACTCGCCCACGTGAAGTCCGAGCTGCAGAAGAGACACACGTGCACAGACCTGGATGAACTGCGCAGCTACCTTGGCTTGCAGATCACCCGGGACAGAGCACAGCGTACCATTACCCTGACTCAGTCACACATGGTGCAGCAGGTCCTTCAGCGCTTCGACTTCATGTACTCCTCGCCTCAGGCCACTCCTCTGTCTACTCGCCACTCGCTCTCAGCTCTGCCTTCGGATGAGTCCGTAGAGCCGAGTGGCCCGTACCCAGAGCTTGTTGGCTGCCTCATGTACCTGATGACCTGCACACGACCTGACCTTGCATACCCTCTTAGCATCTTGGCACGCTATGTTGCTCCTGGGAGACACCGACCAGAGCACATGGCTGCAGCGAAGAGGGTGTTGCGCTACTTGTGCAGTACGTCGGGCATGGGGCTAGTGCTTGGAGGGCGACGTCCAGTGGTCCTCACAGGTCACGCAGACGCTTCTTGGGCTGACGACCAGGCTACGCAGCGGTCGTCACAGGGTTACACCTTCAGCCTTGGTTCTGGCTCTGTTTCGTGGCGGTCTACCCGCTCGTCTTCTGTTCTCGGCTCCAGCTGTGAGGCTGAGATCTACGGGGGAGCCATGGCTGCACAGGAGCTACGCTGGCTCACCTACCTGCTGACTGACCTAGGAGAGCCGCCTCGTTCTCCTCCAGTTCTGTACGTAAACAACAAGGCCATGCTGGCCTTGTGTCGGGAGCACAGACTGGAGCACAGAACGAAGCACATTGCTCTTCGCTACTTCCTTGCTCGTGAGCTGCAGCAGCGTGGTCAGCTGCGCCTTGCTTACGTGGCCTCTGAGGCCAACACTGCTGATATCTTTACCAAGGCACTTCCGCCTGGTGATCATCAGCGCTTCTGTACGATGCTAGGTCTTGTGCCTATTTGGCCTCACTTGCTCACTTCTTGACCTTGCTTGTAGTGTGATCTTTCTATACCTGCACTTGCCTGTTTACCTTTATATATGATCTTGCATGTGAACTGGCCTTGTGGCCTTGCTCTTGTGCTCGGATTGTGTGGTGACGTTGTGATCCACCCTGAGCTTGCTTTGCTTTGCTTGACTGGTCTTGTGACCTCTTGTTCTCCCCCACTTTGCCTATGGGGGTGTGTCAAACTCATATCATATAGCTTGTCTAGGCTATAGTGGGGTAGACACTATGGGGTACAGTTTCCTAGGGTTTCCTACTTGTACCCAACCTTGTGCTGGTTCATTCATTCCTCATTTCTTATCACTGCCTAGTGTTTTACACGATTCCACCTGTTGTGATGGGTAAGCGTATGTGGCAGCGTATCAGCAGTCAGCCAATCCGAAGTGGCGTCGAACCACCTCTACCCACCCCCCGTTTCTCTTCTCTACTCACCACCACTCTTGATGGCTATGAATTACCCATCGTCATGACGCACCAGTCATTATTCTCTTCAAACTGTCTTGCTATCCCGTTGATGGCGTTATGTCTTTCTCATACAGCCGCGCAACCCTCTGGACTTTCCTGCCCACTCCAAGGTCTCGTTATCGCGTTTAACGTAAGGTAGGTTAACCAGCAGCTGTCCACCGCAGTGCCGCTCCGTGTTCTATGCTTCCGTCGCAATCTCCTGTTCGCATCGTAGTCTGCGGGGGTCTGTTTATTGCGCGCATGCTATTCCGCCCCTTGAGAGCAACTTATCCTGTCGTACCGATTGCCTGCCGTCGAATTGATGATTTTCTCTTACTGTTGCGTTACAGTGACTACGCGTGTCTGTTTCTTGTCGCAGGGACTAGACTATCGCGCACCCAAATCGCATGGGGTTCGACTCATCGTGGGCGTTTTAGCTGATGTAGTGGACAGCGCAGCGCATGTGCAGTGGACGTCCGTTTCATGGGTCACGACGTAAGTCTTTTCTCGTCTGTTTGTCCTAAACGCCGCCGGTTTTTGACAGTTATGTGTTTGCTAAACCCAAGCTTAGGCATCCGTGTGTTGTTCTGTTGACCTTTCTGCAGGCGGTAGCACAAGTATCGTTGCCACGCGACACACATGGTCGACGGATGAGCGGTTGCATCGAACCTTAGTTCCCGACTTAACAGGTCCGTTGTACGTGATTTCTCCTCGTTGCGTTTTATCTGGTTTTATTAACGTGCAAAACTGCTCAAGCCTTCAACAACCATTGCCTTTCCTGTGTAGGGTATGGTATATTCATTGTCCCAGCACTCCGGCTACGCATTCTTTGCATCGAGACCCGGTTACGACTCACTGGTATACGCACTAATAGCCCACATAGCAGGGTACGGCTATCTTACTCACTCCGTAAGCCTTATTTTCCCTTCCCTGTTTTCCGTGTGTGGCAGGGGGGCCGAGTGTTACGTTTGTCGCCCTCGCTTCTCAAGTAGTTGGTCTCTTTGTCCCAGGATTACGTTCGTCCTATGCGTGGGTTAAACAGACGGGGAGCGCCGGGGGTTGTTTAAGTGCCTGTTTGGCGGTAAAGTAGGTTGATAGGTTGTGGTGAACCGTGGATGCCCTCACTATGTGGAAAGCGTTGAAGTAACAACGGCCGAAATCAAGCTGGATGATGTACTAAATCAGAGAGGCACACAAGCGGCCCATCAATAGCCCCGCGATCTCAACTCACATCATTGTGCCGGAGTGCCTAACCAGTCTATGTTTCCCAAGCGCATACCCGCTATAACGAACCTGCATTTCCGTTTATCTAAATGGAGGTTTTTTATCGTGTATGGGTTATAAATTAGGGTCATTTACGAATCTCGCATGTAAATTCTATATGTCGGACATGCTGTAGTGACTATTGACTATCACGAAGCGACTTTTTGGGTGTATTACGAATCAGCTTATAGAGAGTCGAAAATGATAACATGCATTGAGTACACTTGCACAGTATCAATATCGGAGCTAACAATAACGGAGATTGCACTTAACGTCACATATAGAGGATAATTTACACGTTTCAAGCACGTCAGCACTACTGCGCGTATCGAGTCATTCCGAAACGAATCAGTGCATTGATGCTAATTCCGTAAATGTTACGAATGCTGTTTCGGAGTGTTCAGAGATGGATGGACCATGCTGTTGTCGGGCTATCGCTGCAGCGGCTCGGACGTGATTCGCCGCCGAGGTTGGGTGGAGGTTTCATTTGGGCGTCTCTGCGGAAACCTGTGGGTCACCCCTCGAGGTTACCACGAACTGAACGTTGCCCCTGGGCAACCTCGAGGTAACCTAGATGGAGTCCTTTGGGTAACCCACAGCGGGGAAACCTGGAGGTATCCTTGGGGTAGGAAAATGCGCCAAACTTTCTTGGGATGATGGCGGCGCTGTTTGGGTTGTATCCTACCAGCCAGTGTCAATGGATGAACGACCTGACGGATTCCGTCATCGTTCACGTTGACGGTGACGGGCGTTCCACACTGCTAGAGAATATGCTGGCCGAGCAGCATGATTCCGCGTGTCAGGATTCCGAGAGGTACGTGCGATTGCGCCCAATCACGCTCAGCGCTGTAACGGGTACTAACTCTATAGCGCGCCGCGTCATTGCGGTGCCGTTTCGTGTCTCCTCGCCGTGATTAGGCCGGCGTTGCTCACTCAAACGGGTCCTCGCTTCTCTCCTTGTCGCCCGTTTCCCCTTCCCCCTTGTGCAGGACGTTTACTCGTGCCCCGGACGAGGAGCCGGCGTCGCAATGCAGAGGGCTGTCGTCGCAATGCGGCAAGAACCCGTCGCACGGCAGTCGCAAGGACGACGAATACCGCACTGGCGGCGCTGCCTCCCATAAACGGCAAGTCTTTTCGCCTGAAGTTTACCCGTGACCGCATTGGTCCTGAAAGCAATTATGCCGCTATCGTGTCGTTCCATAATCTCGTTATTGACCGATCGTTATTTCCCATGGGTGTTTAGTGGATAATCAATCTGATTACTAAAATTTCAGAATGTTTCGGCTTTCTGCATCTCACAACTCGCCTCACTGCTTCCCCTCTCCTGGCGCATTCCGCCTCTCCTCACACACCCCCCTGCGTCTCGCGCGTGTGTATCCAGGCAGCGAGAGGAGCCGAGCGAGTCGAACAGCAACAAGGCCAATCGGGAGAAGATCCGCCGCGACCGACTCAACGACAGGTGCGTCGCTGCTGCTTCCTGCTGGCTGCTGTCTGTCGGAACTCCATCACTCGGTTTTCATGAAAAAAATCAGCCGCATCCTTTCCCAGCGCCTCCTTTTTTAGCCCGTTATGATTGCTTTCCTTTCACTCGGTTATGATTGCTTTCCTTTCACTCGGTTATGATTGCTTTCCTTTCACTCGGTTATGATTGCTTTCCTTCCACTCGGTTATGATTGCTTTCCTTTCACTCGGTTATGATTGCTTTCCTTCCACTCGGTTATGATTGCTTTCCTGTCAGTCGGTTATGATTGCTTTCCTTTCACTCGGTTATGATTGCTTTCCTTTCACTCGGTTATGATTGCTTTCCTTTCACTCGGTTATGATTGCTTTCCTTTCACTCGGTTATGATTGCTTTCCTTTCACTCGGTTATGATTGCTTTCCTTCCACTCGGTTATGATTGCTTTCCTTTCACTCGGTTATGATTGCTTTCCTTCCACTCGGTTATGATTGCTTTCCTTTCACTCGGTTATGATTGCTTTCCTTTCACTCGGTTATGATTGCTTTCCTTTCACTCGGTTATGATTGCTTTCCTGTCAGTCGGTTATGATTGCTTTCCTTTCAGCTCTGCCGTTCCCTCTCGTTTTCCGCATCCCGTGCTTTGTTACCTTCCCCCTCCCGCCACCACTCTCCAGGTTCGAGGAGTTCGTGCTGTCTCTGGACAGGAGCAAACAGGAGCAAACAGGAGCCAGAGATGCAAGGTTCAAAATTACGGTTTTCGTAAAATACGGTCCGTATTTTACGGTCGTTTTTTACGGTGATTTAAAAAAAAAACGGCCGTTTTTTTGTTAGAGTACTCTGTTTACCAAGAACAGAAAGAGAAAAACAAGGTCAAAAACATTTTCAGTCATGCCAACAAGCGCATACATGCAAGAAGGGGACCGTCCCCTTCATGCTGCTGCATTTCGGGTTCAATTTGGTCCCACTAAGTGACCGTTTTGTTAGCTGAACAGGAAACACCCCCTGGAACCGTTTTAAACCGTTTTTTACGACCGTTTTTTATGATACCGTTTTTTACGGTAAATTTTCAAAAAACGGTCGTTTTTTTGAACCCTGCAGAGATGACATTTTGTCCGTGACTGTTGTGGTCCATCACTTCCCGGCGCCACCCTTCCGCCCAACGCGCGTTTTTTCTCCCTTCCCTCTCCTCCCATTCCCAACGCACCCTCTCCCCCCCCCCCCCCTACCGCAGGTTCGAGGAGTTGGCGCCGGCGCTGGAGCAGAGCGAGCTTGCTCGCGCGGACAGGGGGAGCATTCTGGTGGACGCGGTGCGCGTGCTGGCGCAGCTGAGGGCGGAGACGAGCCGGCTGAGGGGCTCCGCGGAGCACATGAGCGAGCAGATCCAAGATCTCAAGGTGAGGCGAGGGGGGGGGGGGGGGGGGGGAACTAAGGGGGAAAGGGAGTCTGAGGGGAGACGGCGCAGCTGAGGGGCTCCGCAGAGCACATGAGGGAGCAGATCCAAGAGCTCAAGGTGCGTTTGGGGGGCAACGAGCGGGAGATGGGGAGGGTGTCGGGGGAGTGGAGAGGGTTGTGAGGAGGTGGGGGAGGTGAAGGGTTGGCAGGAGAGGTTGGGTGTGCTGTGCGCGATAGGAGGGACTGATGAATTGTGGAAGCAGGAAGGGCCATCTGTATTTCCATCTGTATTGAGTCTCGTGCCACACTTGTGCCTTCCCATCTGTGACTCCTGCCTTCTGCATTTCGCGCCCTGGGCTGTACGCACATTGCGTGTGCGTATGGCCAGAAAACTTCATTGTCGACTCAAAAGTCACCCCTTGCCTGTTCCCGTGTGCTGCCCCTGTGAGCAGGCGGAGAAGAGTGAGCTGAGGGAGGAGAGGGCGCGCCTGCTGGCCAACAAGCAGCAGCTGGAAGACGAGGTCCGCCGCTTGGCCGCATCCGGTGCCGCCCAATCCACCGCCGCCACGTCAGCAGCAGTATCAGTGGTTTCTTCAGCCGCCCGGCAGACAGCCGCTACCCCTCCTCCTCTTGGGTTTGCTCCGTGTGCGCCTGGTTCGCCTGGTGCGGTGCCCGTGATGCTGCATCCGGTGTGTGAGCCGGGCAAGCTGGCTCCAATGGGAGCACCCATGGGCTTGATGCCCTTACCGTTCATGCCTGGGGGGATGCTTCATCCTCTCTCCCATCCCCAATCGCACCTTCACTGCCCTCACCCTCGCACTGTGCAAGACAACATTGGTGCTACTGCTGGTTCTGCTGCTTCACCTGTTGCTGCTGTTGCTGCTGGTTGTGCTGCTGCTGGTGCTGCTGCTGGTGGTGGTGCTGCCGCTGCTGCTGCTGGTGCTGCTGCTGCTGGTAGTGCTGCTGCTGCTGCTGGTGGTGCTGCTGGTTCCTCTGGTGCTGGTGGTGGTGGTGGTTGAGCTAGTTCAGCTGGTGCTGCGGCTGCACCTGGTCCACAGTACTTGCATGTGCCTGCCATGCCATATGCCATGCCAGGAATGCCGCCTAAGGGCATGTGGCAGTGGTTATCGCAACCACCTGTTGAGTCCTGCTATGATCAAAAGGTTAGAGCGTTGGTGGCATGATTGTTTATGGCGTGGTCCTTAGAGGACTTGAGTTGGCGCGGTTCGAGGAGCAAGCTGGACGGGAGCGAGCTGGACGGGAGCGGACGGGGGGAGCATTATCCGCGAGCTCAAGGTGTGGGGGAGGGGGGGGGGGGGAGGAAAGGGGAGCGAGGTAGGGGGAATGGCGGCAGGGGAAATTGTGGGGTTGAGATGGCATTTTGTATTTCATTCAGGTTTAGAGCATGTAAATATAACATTTTTTTTCTTAGATGTTGATGCATTTTGCCCTGTGCCAACCACCTTTCCTCTGTGTGCAGGCGGGGAAGTGTGAGCTGAGGGAGGAGACTTTTGAGCCTGCTGGCAGCAAGCATCTGCTGGAGGCGTAGGTTAGGCGCATGACAGCATCTGTTGCCGCCCAAAGCACTGCCGCCTGCAGCATCAGTGGTCTCAGCCGCCCACCTGGCAGCAACTCGTTCTCCTCCTGGAGCATTCTGCCATTGAATTGACCCGACCAATGATCGGATGCGCCACTGGTGGCATCAGGCCCATTTTTATTAGTGTTTTTTACCCTCTTATGCTGAAAAGCAGGGTACCAGTTTTTAGTGGTAACACTGATGTCTAGGTTATTTCGTTTTTTTTTTTTGGGTTGCGAAGCAACCCTTTACGATCGATTTTGCCAAATTTTATTTTCATCTTTTATTCTCCATTACTACGATATATTGTATGATTTTTGAGAAGTATTGAACACTGTTTATGTCGGACTTATATGGTCTAGCCTGTGTAGGCTGTAGCGGGTTAGATACTAAGGGGTACACAATTCTAGGGTTTCATATTTGTATCACACTCATTCCTTAGTCATCCATTCCTCGTTATTCTAACATGGTATCACGAGCCTAGGTTGCCACCTAGGACCGCTTACTACTACGGGCCCACTATTCCGCTAGAAGCGCCCTCGTGCGCCCTACCTTACGTGCGCCCTCGTGCGCCTTTCTCTGCGAGTGCTCCCTCGCACGCCCCACCCTTCGTTCTGCCTGCGCTGCCTCCTACTGCCCTAGGCCAGTGTGCCGCCCCTGCGAGCTAGTAAGGCCCTCGAGCCGCCCCTGCAGGTCCGTCAGGCCCTCGAGCCGCCCCTGCAGGTCCGTCAGGCCCCCGAGCCTCCTCTGCAGGCCCGTCAGACCCTTGAGCCGCCTCTGCAGGCCCGTCAGGCCCGAGAGCCGCCCCTGCAGGCCCGTCAGGTTGTCGCGCTGCCCCTACAGGATCACACCGACCGCGCGCTGCCACTGCAGGCCCCCGCCGCCCGCACGCAGCCTCTGCAGGCCCGTCAGACCGCGCGCGACCCCGTAAGGTCGCGGTCGCGGCCCCGTCAGGCCGCAGTCGCGGCCCCGTCAGGTCGCAGTCGCGGCCCCGTCAGGTCGCGGTTGCGGCCCCGTCAGGTCGCGGTTGCGGCCCCGTCAGGCCGCAGTCGCGGCCCCGTCAGGCCGCTGTCGCGGCCCTGTCAGGTCACTGTCGCGGCCCCGCCCTGCCGCCGACGCGGACGCGGCCCCGCCCTGCCGTCGACGCGGACGCGGCCCCGCCCTGCCGTCGACGCGGCCGCGCCCTCCTACTGCCTACCGCGTCGCCCTGCCCGCCGCGTCGCCCCTGCCAGCGACGTCGCCCCTGCCCACCGCGTCGCTCTGCCCGCCGCGTCGCCCCTGCCCGCGGCGTCGCCCCTGCCCGCCGCATCGCCCTGCCCTACCCCGCGCCGGGCCCCTGGAGCAGCCGCCACTGCAGCAGCCGCCCTTGGCCCCTGGAGCAGCCGCACCTGCAACCGCCCCTGGCCCCTGGAGCGGCCGCCACTGGAGCAGCCGCCACTGCAGGAGCCGCCCCTGGACCCTGGAGCAGCCGCCACTGCAGCAGCCGCCCCTGGCCCCTGGAGCAGCCGCACCTGCAGCCGCCCCTGGCCTCTGGAGCGGCCGCCACTGGAGCAGCCGCCACTGCAGGAGCCGCCCCTGGACCCTGGAGCAGCCGCCCCTGCAACAGCGACCGTCGCGGCCCTGTCCCTGCCCTGCACAACCGCGGAGCTTCCTGCCGCGGTCGCGGTCGCGGCCCCGCCCTGCCGCTGTAGCAGCCTCGCAGTCGCCTCCGTCGTACGCCTGTCCTTCTCGCCACTGGTGAGCACTGCCCTGCCTGTACAACTGTTACTGCTGCAACTACTGCTACTGCTCTTTCTTTTACTACTGCTGCTCCTGGCGTGGCCAGATGCAGCTCCAGCGCCGTCCGCGTGAGTCCCTCACGCCCCAACAACTTCGTGAGTGGTACGCTAGCTGGGGTTATAGGGGTGGCCGCGCTGCTACTAGTGCTACTGCTGCTACTGCTGCTACTGCGGCTACTGCTGCTACTACTGCCACTGCTGCTACTACGGCTGCTACTGCTACTACTACTCCTGGCAGTGGCCAGCTGCAGCTACAGCGACGTCCGCGTGAGTCCCTCCCACCCCAGCAGCTTCGTGAGTGGTACGCTAGTTGGGGTTGTCGGGGTGGCCGTGGTGGGAACCGTCCTGGAGTGAGTAGTTCGGGAGCTTCTTGTAGTGGCCAGGTGCAGCTGCAGCGTCGTTCGCGCGCGACCCTTTCGCCCCAGCAGCTTCGCGAGTGGTACGCTCAGAGTGGAGGGTCACTGAGTTCTGCTCGCTGCCCGTACGTCATTCGCACGGGTGTCCGGACAGGTCAGCCTTGCGGGACCCCTGGTCACACAGAGTCCCGCTGCTTCGCCCGTCTGAGCGACGCTTGGCGTACAGAGTTTGGCGACGACGCTGAGCTCCCCTCCTGGCTGGAGCTGCTTAGTCAGAGGGTAGATATCTTTGCTCTTGACTATGATGCTATCCTCACTGCCATGTATGCATTGTGTACTAGTGCTGAGGGTGCCTGTCACCTGTGTGTGCTGCCTGACCCCGGTATCCAGTCTGCTGCTCTAGGTGCTGGTGAGGCTGCTGCCCTAGGTGCTCGTGCGTCTCCTGCTCCAGGTGTCGGTGGCGGTGAGGCTGCTGCTCTAGGTGCCAGTGAGTCTCCTGCTCCAGGTGCTGGTGAGTCTGCTCTCTCTGGTGCCGCGCCTGCTGCGGTCTTGCACACCTTCACCCTTGACTCGGGTGCTTCCCGCTCCTTCTTTCGAGACCGCACCACCCTCACACCGCTTAGTCGGCCGGTTGCGGTCTCCCTGGCAGACCCCTCTGGGGGTCCTGTCCTTGCTCACTACTCCACTGTGCTACCGTGTCCGGCGGCCCCGTCTGGCTTCCTGTCAGGTCTTTACCTCCCCTCGTTCTCTACGAACTTGGTGAGTGGTGCTGACCTGCAGGATAGAGGGGTTGACCAGTTCACTCCTGCGAGTCAGCGAGTGACCCACTGCACGTGTGCTCGGACGGGCCGACACTTGGCCACGTTTACCCGTCAGCCGGGGTCGAGCCTGTACACACTGACTACTGAGTCTCCTCCGGTCGCTGAGTCTGGTCAGGTAGCTGCGTCGGGTCAGGTGTTTGCTGCAGCGTCCAGGTCTGGTCCTGAGTCTGCCCCCTGCTCGTGTCGTCTCCTGTCTCACCAGACTCTCCTCTGGCACCACCGCCTTGATCACCCCTCCCTGCCTCATCTCAGAGGCATGGCCTCCCGTGTCCTTGTTTCTGGTCTCCCCCGGTCCCTCCCTCCCCTTCCTCCGGGGCCTGCCCCTACCTGCGTTCCCTGCGTCGAGGGGCGGCAGCGCGCCGCTCCTCACTCCTCCGAGTTTCCTCCGACAGAGGCTCCGCTGCAGACGCTTCACATGGACGTGTGGGGCCCAGCCCGCGTCCGTGGACAGGGTCACGAGCGTTACTTCCTGCTGGTGGTTGACGACTACTCGCGTTACACCACAGTCTTCCCCTTGCACAGCAAGGGTGAGGTCACTGAGGTGTTGATCGACTGGATCCACGCAGCTCGTCTCCAGCTCAGAGAGAGTTTCGGCTCGGACTTTCCTGTTCTGCGTCTGCACTCCGACAGAGGCGGAGAGTTTTCCTCTGACCTTCTGCGAGCCTTCTGTCGTGCACGAGGCATCCGCCAGACGTTCACGCTTCCGGCCTCTCCACAGCAAAATGGGATTGCTGAGCGCCGCATTGGCATGGTCATGGACGTCGCTCGTACGTCCATGATCCATGCGGCTGCTCCCCATTTTCTGTGGCCGTTCGCGGTTCAGTACGCGGCGCATCAGATCAACCTTCAGCCCCGGGCCTCCATGCTGGAGACCTCCCCTGCTCTGCGGTGGACGGGGAAGGTTGGCAATGCGTCTGCGTTCCGTGTCTGGGGATCTCGGGCGTTTGTTCGCGACTTGTCTGCGGACAAGCTGTCCCCTCGTGCTGTTCCCTGCGTCTTCCTTGGCTTCCCCCCGGACGCGCCTGGTTGGCAGTTTTACCACCCCACCTCGCGCCGTGTTCTGTCCTCCCAGGACGTCACGTTTGACGAGTCGGTTCCCTACTACCGTCTCTTCCCCTACCGCACTGCACCCCTTCCCCCGCCGCCGCTCTTCCTCGCGCCAGTTCCCCCCTCGGTAGACCCCCTTCCCCCTCAGGGTCCTGCCCCCTCAGGTGTGTCCCAGGTAGACGCAGTCGAGCCTGTCGAGGTAGCTGTTGACTCTGGTACTGCTGGGGGTGCTGAGCCTGCGGGTGCGGGGTCTGGGGGTGCTGAGCCTGGGGGTGCTGAGCCTTGGGGTGCTGAGCCTGGGGGTGCTGAGCCTGGGGGTGCTGTGACTGGGGGTGCGGAGCCTGAGGGTGCTGGGCCTGCTCGTGTGGCGTCTGGCGGTACTGGGTCTGGAGGTCCTTCGGGTGCTTCGTCCCGGCGGGAGCTACTCTCTCCACAGGAGCT